GTTCTGCGCAGTATCTTAGCTGTTCCAAGCAGTGTGCTCTTCTGGATAGGGATCTCTGATGCTGTTCCTGGAATCTGTTGAAGCCACTTTTATAGTTTAGTGGTCACAGTTCCGAGTGTTCTAGTTATCACTGCTTTGGCCTTTACTTTCCACATCTTCTCTAGTTCTTCTTTCAGTCCTTGGTGTTTCTCTAACTTCTCATAATCCTTCCTGTCGTTCCTGTCATTTGGTACTACTATATCTATCACCAGTGTTGATTTGTGATTCTTGTCAGTTATTATCACGATATCTGGTTGATTGGTCCGTACTTTGTCCGTTTGTCCGTTTGTATGGAGAAGTCCCGCAGGATCTTCACTTTATTGTTCTCTACGATTTTCTGAGAAATCTCTCATTTAGTTTTGAGAGGGTCCAAGCCATACAACCAGCAGATGTTCCAATGCCAGTATATATAAATATATATATATAAGAAGCTAGAAAAACAACAGAGGATCAAAGAAGAATTGGAGAAAAGAAAAGTGAGGGCCAAAGTAGTGATAGGAGCACTTTGACCCCTAAACTAGAAATATTTTAGGAAAAATATCAGAGATTTCTTTCTAGAAGAGCGCATTTCTAAGAATAGCTAAGATAGTGCACAGAACCTTCAAGCTTGCAGTCTGTTATATGAGCAAAGGTTGAAAATGACCCATTCACCCAGGGGAGTGATAAAGAGGGTATATATGAATATATGTATGAATATATATAAGTGTAAATACAAATTACAAATTAAATACGTGCCAACAAATTATATTTCTTGAAAGATTTTTAAGAAAATAATTTTAAAATTGATACAATATATCAGAGTAAAAACTTTTGCAGATGACTGCAGTAAAATATTGTTTACCGAGATAACTTTTGATAACGAATCAACCAAATTTATTTTGTATAGCGATGGGACCTTCTGGCAGAGTCCTCCGAGCAGTCGCTACTTTGGGCCACTTCTAAATCGGACATTGAGTAAGCCCATCCATTTTTCAATCGAAAAAACAATTAGTGCGAGTAATTTGGGAGACATCCCCTTTATTTCTGCTCTACTTCCCACCATCTTCCCGACTTTTTAATTTTTTTTGCGAAAAATCGAAATTTGCAAAACTAACCTTAGTCTTGAAATTAATTTATTTTACTGAGTCTTGCACCGATTGTTTCCACCCAGTGATTGTCTTTGTTATGGCCAATTATTTTGCAACAAGTTTATTTTGTGCGAAGAATTTCATGCGGGTTTTTTTCTGCAATTTTTGGTAATGCAGTTAGTGTTCTTAATAAATAGGAGTAATTCGGTGCAGTGGTAATGGTTCATCGTTTATTACTAATTTTCCACTTTCTTCCTGACTTGTAGGCAACTTCTCGTTAATAGAAATTCGAGTGATGCTACTACCTGCATCGCCAAGTGACTCTGGAGAAAAGGCTGACCATTATAGTCAACGAAGCCGGTTAAATCAGAATTTGAACCGGAAAATTCCGTCAGAAGAAGAATGGAAGCTAAAGGACAGATGAAATAACTTGCTGATAAACAAATAGTTGGTCAATTAGAGGGAAACAAGGGTGAAATACCATTTGAGGAAATGAAAAAAATAAATATGGGTAGCTGTAGCGATCTCTGGTACGTGACTGCGGGGTATTCAGTTCCTCATTCATGCTTGCTTCTTATCTTTTACTTCTTCCTTTTTCTCATACTCGAACTCCTAGTAATGATTTATCAGATCGAAGTTATCGTAACCTTTCATGCATTTCTTTGTTGCTGTTAAAATGAAATATCCACTTTTAATATCAAATATCAAAGACCAAAGAGTCATATGCAAGTCAGAAAAATAAGTGCAGTGCCTGGTGAGTGGATTTTCGATTCTAATTTTTGGTTTCTTTTTCAGCATGATTGTTGTAAGAGTCTAAAAATTCATCGGCACAATAAAGGGTTCTAATAAAGTCTTTTCTTACCTTATATTGAGCATCTCTGTGGATCAGATGATTAATAAAACTAATTAAATAAAAAGGAGTAATAAATTACGAAGAATGCCGTTTTATGTTTTTTTATTTTTTATCCAAGGCGATAATTTAATTCCATTTGAAGTTCGTAAATTTCTTCCTTCCTAATTGAGACATTTTTCAAATCGTTTTTTTTAAAAAAATCAGTACATTTCCCAGATGAACCCGCAAATTAGTAAAAATATGACCCTAAAATATGGGTGAATTGAAAATATTTAATTTTAAATATTCCATTCAATATTTAAAATATTTTGGTGAATTTTTAATGAGAAAAATTTTGTTCATACGGTTCAAATTTTTTTTTTATTCAGAATTTTTATGAATAAAAGTTTTTTTTCAAAAAAGTATAAAAATTAGAATTATGGATATATTTCACTTTTACATTTTACTTTTATTTTGTTATTCTGAAAAAGGCTGTAAAAAATCGACAAATAAAGAGTTCATTTTCTGATTTGATCATCCTGCATGTGTATATGGCACTTAAAAAAGTGCCTGGAGGGTAGTCCATGCAGGCAAAAAGGACTGGAAAACGTATGTAATGCCACTGTGGAATATGTGTATTTATAATTAATAATAATTCATTATCTTATAATGTGGTTAAAAATAATTTTATCTTGCTATTACGTCTTTTCAGGTGTGAATGAATAATAAATATATCGTTATGTCATTTATTATTCGGGATTTGTTTAGAAAATATTTTCATTCTTCGTTACAATTATGCCGATTTGGAACTAATGATTTCACATTACGAACACATAACTGCGGAGAATTACGTCTTACAAATGAAGGTATTGTATATACAATTTCATAACCATATAAGCGTATTAATGTTTGATGTTTATTGGTTTATTGGTTTGCCTATTCGCTCCTATGGGCATTGTAATCATAGTAGGTTTTTGTAATGAGGGGTAGCGCATTCTTTTACTCCGATTTAGTAAGGGATTTGTAAAATGCTACTTCGCTAGTTTAATTTAAGAAAACAACCAAATAAACATTGTTAACCAATGTAGAATTAGACAATTAATGGTGATTTCATGTTGTTTCGTTTTCTTTTTGTCTTTTTAATTTTTATTTTCTTGTTGTTTGATTTACTTTTACTTATTTGTTTGGCATGTCGACTGACCTGTTTTGCTGTTAATTTTCATTTCATTGTTTGAACTTTTAGGTCAGTCAGTGACATTGTATGGATGGCTACAGTATAAACGTGGCAGTATGTTTTTTGTTCTAAGAGATGCATACGGTAGTACACAAATACGAATACCGGAAGAAAGACAAGATTTGTCAAAATTTTTAAAAGACCTCTATCTAGAAAGCATCATTAAAGTTAATGGAGATGTCGTTGATCGAGGCGATCAACGAAATATGAATATGCCAACTGGCAATATTGAGGTAAATCTAGAACATTCATTACATTGGTATGATCCATTCCCTGTGATTTAATTCCTTTTTTTCAGATTTTTAGATTTTATGGAATTTTTTGCCAAGTTGAAAGCATAGGTCTTACCACTTTTTTTCGAGGATTGATTTCAAAATTTTTGAGGTTGTCGCACGAAATATAGAATTGGTAAATGAATTTTTAAACCCAGAAAAAACACCATATTCCCTTAGATTTGAGCAGTCTGATGCGTTGCGATTAAAATATCGTTATATGGACTTGAGATCAGAGAAGATGCAGCGAAATTTAAGGTAAAATTTTTCGGCATAGCGAGATTTATCTGGTCTAGATTTGGGCCACAAGGACTTTCATTTATGACGATTGGTATGCATAAAATTTATTCAACTGATAATCAAGAAAAAACTTCGAATTTTTTGCTGGGAAAAAGTTAACATTTATTTCAGATTTGCGGGGGTAGGGTTTCAGATCACATTTTACCGTAATAGATTAAAGGTAAATCCGAATCCGAATTGATACTTATCGTTAAATTTAGATTGCGGGCCAAGGTTGTTCAAAATATGCGAAATTATTTGGATAATGAAGTCAATTTTGTTGAGGTAATATTCTTCATTGTTACTAAAATTTAGACTTCAATATTTTTTGTTCGACCAAATTTGTGATATTTAGGTAGAAACACCTACTCTGGTACGTCGAACTCCTGGTGGTGCGAGAGAATTCATTGTCCCATCTCCATTTCCAAATCTTGGAAAATTTTATTCTCTTCCTCAAAGTCCACAGCAATTCAAGCAGCTCTTAATGTGTGGCGGATTCGATAGATATTATCAAGTCTCATTTTAAATCATCCTCACAAAATATTTGGTTGTAAATTTTATAATCAATCTAGTTCCATTATAAAATTCGACAAAAATTCTATGTTATTTTCTCACATTTCATTTTTTATTCTTATTTTATTTTTATTCAGTTTGCACGATGTTATCGCGATGAAAAGTCGAAATCTGATCGGCAACCAGAATTCACACAAGTTGATTTGGAATTATCTTTTACTAATCAAGATGGTGTTATAAGTCTTGTCGAAAATTTGATAAAAAGGTCTTGGCCACTGGTAAGACTAAATGCATTTGAGTTTTTGAATTTCTAAATTTTTAATCTTTCATGGAGTGCTTCTTTTGAAATATTTATTATCAGTATTTAAGTCAAAAGTTCATTCACTTTTTTCCTAGCAATTATTTTCTTTTCTTAACTGTTCATGATCGGCCATTCTTAGCTTTAAGTGGTTGTGGTCTATTATACATTCTGTTTCTGATGAAAAGTGCTTTTAAAGACAGGTTGTGATTTAAAATGTGCGTCTTTTTTCTCATTAAGCACCATATTTATCGATTTACTTCCATGTTAAAAAATTTATATTTATATTTATAAATATTTATAATCGTTGAAGTTGTTGATTAAGGATGGATTTTGTCCTTTTATTCCATTTCAAAGAATTTCTTTCGATGAAGCGTATAGATTATATGGCACTGATAAACCCGATCTGCGCATACCGTGGACCATAGAGGATTGTACTGACTATTTCTTTTTTTTAAATTCTCAAAATATGGAGGAGTTTTGCGTTAGATTTATTGTGGCAAAGGGTGCAGCAAAGTATTTAGCGGATGCAGAATTGAAGTCCTGGCATCAGACGAAAATGGACAAAAAATGTCAAGTAAGAAAAAATTTAAATATTTTGATCGAAATATTCTTCTCTTCATTTTCGTATTTAAATTATTGAAATTAACAAATATTAAAATTAATTGGATTAAATTAAATTAATTAACTAATTAATCAATGAAGTAAAACTAGTGGTGAAATTTAGATTCTTGTCGCATGAAATCTAGGTTATTAATTATTTATTTGAAAATGTAAAGGAATTTAGCATTTAGTTACTTGTAAATCCAGCTTTAGTGACATAATTGACTGCTTTTAGGCATTCAAAATATTCACAAATAAAAATGCACAGTGGTTCCCGGAAATCCCGAATTCATTTTTAATTGGGAAACATGAAATAAAGGACAATGATGCTCTGATCATCTCGTAAGTCTGTATTTCTTCCAAATTGATAATTTTGCTAAATCCGCATCAGTGGTGGTCATTTTTCATCTTTTTGAGGCATTTTCAAATTAATAGACTAATTATTTTATTTCTGGACATAAAATATTTGGTAACGATATGTTTATTTGTTCTAGTTGGGGTACTCCGAAGGGCGTACAATGGACGCTTGGTGAGTTGCGTAATATTGTTGGAGAAGCAGCACATTTACGAAGCCAGCAACGATTTGAATTCGTTTGGATCACTGATTTTCCATTATTCTTCCAACGAAGTGATGGCAGCTTTAAAAGCGTGCATCACCCATTCACAGCGCCTGTTTCTAATCATGAGGAGCTCATGTATGATCCAAGTAGAATTAATGAAGTTAAAGGTTTCGTTTTTTAATATGTTTTTTATCAATCTATTAATTTCTTCATTTCTAGCAATGTTTGAAAATATGTGAAATAATTTCTCTTCTTTTATTTATTTGAAAGAACAAAGCAGGAAATAGAAAATAAAGATTTGCAAATTTCTAGAAAGGGAAATAGAAAAAAAGTGCAAAAAAAGAAAAAGAAAATGAACCAGAAATAACAAAAAATAAATAAAATGCGAATAATATTGCTAATGGCAATAATACTATCATTATTTGCGATGAGTCTTCGGTACGACTTCAAGTAATGGCACGTCAACACTTGTTTTTTTTAGGTCAGCATTATGATTTGGTGTTGAATGGTGTCGAATTGGGTGGTGGTTCAATCCGTATCCACAATCCAAAATTGCAGCGTTATGTGATCGAAAATATTCTCAAAGAACCAGTCGACGAATTGGTTGATTTTTTAGCCTTTACATGCTATTATCTGTTATTGCACTATTATTTATTAGTGTTATTAACCGTAAAAAATTTACCAATAATATTCGAATACGATTAGGCGATTAAAAGTAGACATATTTTGCTCACATTAAATTAAAATGATCTGACAAGGCTAATTTCCTTGCAATACTACATGTAATTTTCATTTTTTGACTCAGAAATTTTCTAGAAACACCTTATCGATGCTTTGGCATGTGGAGCACCACCTCACGGTGGCTTTGCTTTAGGCTTTGATCGATACATAGCACTGTTAGCGGGAACAGGAAATATAAATGTTCCAATTCGAGATGTGATCGCATTCCCTAAAAACACTGAAAAGCGTGATATTATGATGAGAAGTCCGTCTGCATTGTCCTCCGATGCGTTTGAAAGGTGATCTTAGCAAAATTTACTTTAGAAAAATTTTAGAAAAGCTGCGAAATTACGGTAAAAACAATTTGGGTCTTGTGAGGAATTGAATCTTTATTTTCAGTCTAAGTTTCAGATACGCAATCAAACTGGATGCGTCGCTGATTTCTCCGGAACCACTTGAATATATTGAGGATGAACTGAGATCGAAATCTGTTTAACCAAGTTCGCAGCGAACTTATTAAATCTTATCTTAAATGATTGTTGAATTGTTGATTTCAGGAAAAAAAATCCTTTTGCACAAAATATGTTTAAAATATCTCTCTCCTTATATATAAAAGTTCTACTGATTCCATAAAATAGAAAAATGTTCATTGTTTTACTTGTCGTTTTTTTTTGTATTTTTATCATCATTTCTATTTAATTCATTTTCATTCATTTTTAATAACTAAGACTTTTCTAAAATAAAGCTTCTAAGGGAATAAAGGCATGGCTTTATAGTTAGAAACAGTGGAGTTAATTGCGATATGAGCCAAGACCACTGATATAGGGTGCTACATAAACAATAAACAACACCAATTTATTATTTAGTGAAAAAGTGGTAGCATCGATTTAAAAACAAAGTAAACTGATGCATTCTAAACTGCATAAAAATCTTACTTTTTATAATGCAGACATGGGGTGAAACTGACAAAAATTGAGAATGAAAAAAATGGGAAATGTTAGATACATATTAATATTTTTGCAGCTCGATTCGTTTTCATCCTCATAAAGCTTGTTTACTTCGCCGTATCTCATTCTGGCACTTGTTTGCTTCGAAGACGGCCTTAATAAAAAATTTTAACAAAAAGTCATCAAATACATCCAAGATTATAATTCGCTCAAATCTAATCCGAACCAAATTCAGTCTTTAGCTTTCAAATAGTTCCTCATAATCAAATGTATATGTGGTTCAAAACCAACTAACTAATCGTCCTTGCCATGTCTTATAAATTCTCTAATGACCTCTACCTCTGTATTTTATTTTCAAAAGTATGAGATTATGGATTCGATTCCGAAATTCGGATTTCCTTCGTACATGTTCTTCCCATCTTTAAAAATAAATACCGCTTTAATCTATCTGTTTAACCAAGTTTACAGTGAAAACGATCCCAATCTTATCTATCGTCCGATTAGCATTAGTAGCTAACTAGCAAGATATTGGAAAGGTCAATTTGTAACAATTGTTCCTTATTCCAATAATTTGATCTTACTCTAACATGGTTTAATTAGGTGGAAATCCACAGCTTCCCAGCTCTTACCTACATTCCGCGAGTGGCCCATAACCATGCTCAAAGAGTCTCAATTGCCTATTCATACTTGGCTAAAAATTGTAATTTTCAGTATAGTTTCATAGCCACAGACTTTAATGATCCTATCACGAATTACCTCTCTAATAGATAACAGATTATTTCAACAGCTACCATATTACTGGTTAGGCTGGCTCCAATGGCTACAGGAGTAAGACATTTCCAAGCAGCGTGGTCTGAGGCCATCATCAGCAGCGATAAAAGCCATTCCTTTTTCCATCGTCTAAGTCCATATATTGCTGATCCACCTATACGTTCAAAATCCTTCCTGACAGTGCCAATCCAGATCTTGATTGGCTTCATCGCTTTTGACGCCAACCATCATAGGGTTCGTCAAATGGCGAAATGCGTGTAAATTCCTATGGTGGACGACGAAGAACATGCATTAACCATGGAAGACGACACTCTGTGATGTTTATGCAAGCGGTATGTATTTGAACGAAGATGGTTACCTTATGTGATACCTTATTCTCTCAACGGATCCGTAATATGTGCCTTAGACAAAAGTGGTCAGAGAGAGATAACTTCTTAATATCCTCCACTCTCATTGGCCATGCCTCAGAACCATATAGCAAATTCGAACGGATCACGGCTATATAGATTCGGACTTTTGTTTTTATGGTGATTTCATGACGACTCCATAAACGTTCCTTCAATCGGAAGAACGCATTTCTAGCTGCCATGATCCAGGTTGTAATGTCATCTTTTGCCTGACATTTGGTATTAGAGTGGACCGAAGGTATTTAAAATCGGGCACTTCCTCAACCGGCAATGAATCTATAAAAAGACGCATTTTGTCAACTTCTTGCATTTAAGATGAAAAAACTTTTGTTTTATTTACCCTGAGCTTGAGTCCGATTCGCGCTGCAATTGTCGCTTGCAGACGTTGTTTAACATTATTTGCATTTCCTTATAACTCTCAGCAAAAATGACTAAATCATCAGCGTATTCGAGATCTATGACCCTATGCTCTGGACTGATTCGCACACCTCTTGAGTGCCGACAAGCAGTATCCATTATCCAGTCAATCGCATAGTTAAATATTGTGAGGGAAAGGACGCAGCTCTGACGGACCCCAGTTTTCGAAGGAGTGTGTCAGCTCCCCATATATACAGACCTGCGCCGATATGCGCTTACAAAATGCCTTATGCATGCCTTTATGAGTCGAATTATCTTTTCTATAACACCGTCGTGTTCCATCATCCTCCAAAGCTCGGCTCTTCCAATTTAATCAAATGCAACCGCATAGTCGATGAAACACGCAAGATTTGTCTGGCTCAAAAAATCATCGGAATAGGCCTAATTAGATGAGAGCAAAAAAGAAAAAAACAACATATAAATGTAAAATTTTCAATTATCGGATCAACGATAACAGCTCCGATCTAACTATTATTTCTGTTTTCAAATTTTGGTCTACTGATTGAAAGAAACTTTGTTTCGATTTAAAAATATAGACAGAAGGATATATTTTTAAAATCTTCTGGAACTTTTAATTTGATACTTAAAATTTTTAAAAATAATTGGAGAAATTTCCTAATTATAAATGTATAAAATATTCGTCCGTCACATTCAGAATGTAATATAGTATGTTTCTCACCCAGATTTACTTATGTTAATTCAGGATTTACAGATGTACTTTCTACAGCACTTAAATTTCACTAACGGTTAGAAGATTTGGACCTGATTCCTACTTAATTAAAAAATTTTATTTGTCTATATATTAATCCAACCTAAATATATTAATTATGACTTCAACTTGATAATTGATAATTAAGCTAACAAAGGCATCGGATTGAATGGAAAATTAAAATTATTAACTATTCCAATGAAATAAATTACCACAAGTTATTCTTACACTTGTCTTCAGTTTTAAAAAAATTCTCAAAAATATCTTCCATATCTTCAAAAAATTTCAGCCTTTATGTAATATTAATATCTTTTTTTTCCTTTTTCGTTTTTATTTTACCTTTTATTTTTCTTTGTTCCAGTTACTTTAGAAACTGAACTAGTGGCCTTTTTGCTTTAACCTTATTTGTTATTAATTTCAGCACTGGATTTATGCCCTGATTTCCACTTAAATAATATATTTGAATTTATTCTGAAGGGCGAATGGAAGTATGATTAAATTCATGCTAATCACAAAATTCAATAAGCAGATTTAACCTAAATCAGACCACGTTTCACGAAGAACATTAAAGAATATATCAAAAAATTTTCCGATAATTCCAAATTAACGTAAGAACTCAGAAGAGAACAAATGTTTATAAAGAGAAGCCGATGTAAGCGGAGCAGCAGATAAACAATTTTAAAAATATTTTAAAAAATACCTTAGTCGTGTGTGCATCAATAATTGCGTAGTTGATTGTAGATTTATTCATACTGAACTCGAATGGTTTTCTTAGCTTTTGTGCTTTATTTGTCAGCAAACGCCCCGTATTTGGAAAAACGAAATATTCTAACTTTGCTCTTTCACAGGAATTTATGTTATCATAATTATTCTAAAATGACTTCTTTTTTAATATAATAGCCTACTGAAAATTGGATCATAAGAAACCAAAAAAGAAAACGAACATTGACTGTCACAATTCTATGAACCCATGGTGAATCAAATGATGCATTTGCAACGTTCGAAGACAAATTGGACTGGCAATTCGCGCTAAAGGCTTCAGCAGAATTAGATTTAAAATTTGAGTAGATTAAATCATTGCTGTTTTAACATATTGAGATAATAAAGGTTATTGCTGTTACATAGGCATAATAGTCAAGAGATAAAATCCAGTATACAGCGTACTTTTGGACGTGATGTGAAAATGCACCAAGAGTGATATCAGGATTATTCAAAATATCACCCTTTTTCAAATTTTTTCGAGGTTTGCAGGACCGATCAACCTAAAATAAAGCAATAAAATTTTAAGAAACATTCTATAGCACGGTAATAAAAGGCGCTTATTCCGCCTTCTTTATAAAATCTCAAATGCTGCAAGAAAAATTTTTTTAAAATAACCTTTGGTGGATTTACTTTTAAAACAACATGGTGCCCACCACAAATACTCATTGCTTCACTGGGATAATTTTGATTCTGTCTGCAAATGTCTTAATGAATCGAACACTTCTTTAGTAACATCTCTTTTTAAAATGATTGAATAAGCAGTGGGTATAATTTCATTTGCACAAAAAATAAACAACTAATTAGATTATTCAAATTGATATTAACTTAATCGATAAGTGAAAAAGATAAGAGTCATATGATGATATTCACAAAGCTAAAATTATAATTCTTTCAATTTCATTTGCATTTCATTCAAAAATACTGCAAAATAAAACCGTTGTATACATACGAGGTGATGGTCTCGCCACTCCAGTTTTCTTCAGAGATGTCAGTTTCATTTATACTTGGAGCAATCAGCAAGTTATCAAGGTCTGGTGTTTCTGAAAAATATTTATAAAAGAGAAAGAGCGAAAAAAAGTAAAAAGGCCAAAGCTGCCTATATGTTTGAATATAATTTGAAAAGGGTGGATAAAAAAAATTACGAGTGTATAAAAAAATTAAAGACACGTAAAGACCTCCAAGATTATCTTTTGTAACTTTTGCATCAATGATTCATCTCCATCCTATGCGGCCATGAAGTGTTTCATTTTGGAAAGGACAACGAAAGTGGAATAGAAAAAGTACAACCAAAAAAGTACCATTAGAGTAAATCTGAGTTGAATCTTTGGAAGTGAGTGAAATAACAGAATTAATAGTATTGACGACTGATTTATGCTTTGGTGGTCTAAAAAAGCAAAAAATTTGACAAAGATCACATATAAAAGATATGTTTATTCACTATCGAGCATATTATTAATACATATTTGTAAATTTGAAACAAAAAATCTAAAATTTTCGGAAAAAAGATTTCTGGAGTGTTTACTTAAAATGAAAGTATCGAAATATCATCAAGGTAACAACAAGATACCTTGGAGGAGGAATAAAATAATCTGGTAAATTATCAACCGAAGAAGTAGTTGAGCTGGAGCAACTAGATCCGTACGCAAACAAATTTCCTTGGTTGAATCGCTGATTTGGTAGCATATTCATTATTACTGGCATTCCTATAACGAAAATTAGTCAAAAAACCTTATGAAATTACAAAAAGTTATAAAATTATTATAAAAAAACTAAAAATAACTTGAAATATCAAATTTATGTGCCGCTTACCAGTATATGAAGATGGAGGACAATCTTTGAGATGAATATATGCATGATCTTCTGGGTTTTCTGAAGCAACCCCTCCACTATTCGATAGTGAAGGATGGCTACTGCAGTATTTCAAATGCGTATAATCCTGTAGTTCGAATGAAAAAATGGTAACTACCAATGGTAGATAAAATAATTGCAAATTAGATGGAAAAAACATGGAGTATGGAGATTTACCTTATTTTTCAATAGACTCATTGTTGATTCATTAAGTGAACTGTTCGAGGAAATAGAAAAATTTGAGCTCCCTGAACATCAAGTCAATTAATTATAAGATAGTCCAAAAATATGCGATGAAAAATATGCGATGGAAAACGATTACCTTGTCTTGAATATATTAGATTTTGTATCCCACCACAGTAATCATCATCTTGCTTTTCTAGATTGCAAGCACTACACAAATGCGCCACCCATTGGTTCATTTCCTGCAAAAAGAAATATAGAAAAATACTGCAAGAAGTACATAATTTGATAAATTAAAAAATTCAATAAGAATATTTTTTTTGATTTCACATCCAATATTTCAAAAATATAATAAGCAAAACTGCTTTGTGATGGCCAAAAAAATATGAGATTAATCAAGGGATGGAGATGAAACAATTCCAGTATCAATAATAATCTTTATATTGGAAGAGGTAAGTTGAATTAATGATGAATCCTATCGCTTCTCAAATAATTCTAACGATAAAGTAAATTCATCTAAAAAAAAATAATTGATAAAAATAAAGTAATTGATTTTCTGTTGCTTTCTACGTAAATTCCGCTAAAAAAACCGCTAAAAAAAACCGCTTTCGTGGCAGTGAGGATAATGATGATTTAAAAACTCAGCATAAAACCTGGCTTTAACAGCAACTAACCAGGCTTTACCCATTTCTGTTTTAATTCATGAACAATCGACTAATTTACTAATTTTTATTCCAAGAAAACTCTGAAAAAATTATTCTGAATTGATAAAAATTATATAGGTGCAATATCCGATTTAATTATTTCGTAAAAAACAACAGAAATGCGATCTATGCAAACAACGATAATAAATCAGGCAAGCACTAAACAATACCATCATGTCAACTATCAAAAGGAATTTCGTGATATTCTTCTATATTAGACAGTCAACTTTTCTTACAGACGTGAAATAACCATTCTTCATTCCGTTCACTTCATATTTAATATTCATTTCCTAATGTTGATTTCTTCCTTTATTTTTCTTTCAAAAGCACGCCTTCCCTCTATAATCTATTTTAATAACTGGAAGTCCTATAAAAAAATTCCTTTCTTCTGAATAATATTGCTTCTGTTATGAAAACTTCAATTATTAAATTGTTGTCACTCCAATATAAAATTTGAGTTTCCGTAACCTTCCATCCATTTTCTTCAGTTTTATAGACCAATTCCAAATATATCAATGTTAACAGCAGAATACTTAAATTTAAGTAGCAAATTCATTTTGCATAGCCCTTATTCAAAAAATTTTTTTATCTCTCGCTATTTCCAAAACTGAATGAGAAAACTTAGTGAAAAAAGTACCGTATTAATATCAAACCATGACCATAGCAATTTTTCAATTATTTACGAACAATCTCCTTAATTACCATTTTCTTGTTGTCAAGGAAGAATTAATAGAATTATTTAAAATCCATTAACACCATCTTTCCTTTTTCGACAATATTTAAATATTTAAAACGAAACATTTCAATTTTCTGCTTTAATAAGCAAAAGAACAACCGTTTCAGAAGCAGCCGCTAAATAAATAACGGAACTTTTTGGTGCATTTTTAATATTGCCTTTATCGAAATAGATAGCGAAAATCCACATTTTTTCATCATTCACTGAAGAAATATTCGAGCTAATCTAAAAATTTAAAAATCAATCGAACTCAATCAAAACTAATTAAATAATAATTAAATTAAATAATAATTAAATAAGAAATGTCATAAAAAGGTATCACCGATCTCACATTTTTAGCCTTTTAGTGATTTTGTTGTCGAATACAGGAAATGATGGAAAAAATGAAATTCGTCCTAATAACGGAATGATTGAATTACTGACGGTAAGTTGGTCAAGTGGAACATGGCGAATAAATGGTGAGTTTGATTACTGTTCTCTATCGAAAGCAAACCAATCATTAAATGAGAAATCGGCGCAGGAACCAACCTGGATCCCCAAATTTTCAAACCTCTTATCCCCAAATGACCCCCCGACAAGACAGCCCATCCTATTGGCCAGAGAGCTAACCAAACAGGAAATGGTGAGTCAGAAGAAAAGAAAGAATAATTTAGCAACCAAATATGGGTGGCTTTTTAATATTTATTGTATTAATGAAAATATATTCAATAAATACAGCTAGAATAAAGAAAACAATTCAACTAAAGCAGAACACGAAGACATAAATGGAAAGGCAACTCAACTTATAAGCTCGATCCAGTTTGAAAGTTTTAAGGAGTTTTGACGATGGATTTGCATCTGAACACTGGTCAAAAAAGAACTGCGAATGAGCGCCATTTTGGCGAAGTAAAAAATATCGTTTTACCCATTTCGCCTCAAACAAATTTAGAAAATACTCAAACACGCTTTTAATTTACAAGCTTTGGTTAAACTCCTCACACACTTCGACATCGCATATCCTCTGCTAACTCAGCAGTATTTAATGCCAATATAACTGACTTCACTCAGTCGACCCACGTTAGACAAAAGAAAGCAAAATTTAATAGAAATCGAACACCTTAGATTTTGCTAACGAAAAACGAAATAATAAATCATTTGTCCGTTTGGATTTTTCAAGAATTCCTTCAAAAATAATCGACGACGAATTTGTCCGATCTCCATTCGTAAAATCATCCTTTGACGACAGCAAAAAAGGATAATCGACACAACTCATCTTAACCCAACAAATTTCCTCTGACAAACCACTTTTCTAAATTCATCGTTTTCAACTCATTAATTTTAGTATTCCAATAGCTATTTCGCAGCAATAATCTGCACCGATAAGTGGAAAAGTTCGGACTGAGTGAAGCAATCTTTGCTAGACCGAACATTGTCGAGATGACCTTGCCTATACCGACAAAGTCATGGATCCACTCTTTGCTGAAGAAGTTAATTCTCAAAAGGAAAAAAGTGTTGGGATGGATTTGTAATAATTTTTCAATTTTAATGGTGTTTATTTCATTCTTTTCCGATTTTTTACATTCGAATGCGTCGCATTTTGAAACTCATCATGATTTTGCATATAAGCTTTTATCCATTTTGTGAAATGTATTCTTTAATTCGACAAACTCTTTCAAGTTATGATTATGGTTATCATATCTGAAGTTAATGGCGGACCTTTCTATATTTTTTTTGGAATATCAGGTCACCAATGTGATAAAAATTAAAGCTAATTTAATTCAAATCAAATCAGTATTTGCTCAAAACTGCAGTGTTATTTCAAAATCGAAGATGACTGTAGGACGAAGAAAAAAAGAACTTGTTTAAGTCTTTATTTCCGCATTATTTCATCGGATTTTCTCCGTTTTCGAATTTGTTTTTGCAATATGAATGAAAAATTTAAATTCAAGATAATTTAAAATAAATAAATTCAAAATTTTTCTTGTTCAAATTCAGATTTTTAAGTTGTTGTTTTATTATATTTGTATTCAGAGCGGCTGCCTTAAATCAATTTTTCGCCTGTTAAGTCACTTTTCCGTGTTGGAATTAACTTTGTCCGAGTTTTTCTCAGCCGTAGATAATTGCGATTCATTCAAGTCAAATAATACATATGCACCTTTATGTATTGCTTTGCTTCGAAAAAGCGCAC